GGGGAAAGAGAACAGTGCTGTAATCCACTCCGAAGAGTAAATCACAATCCCCGCAGAGTTATTTTACAACAAAGACAGGCCATGCCTAATATAAGACATGAATTGAACAGTTCACATAGCACAATGGCACAGCAAAACATCTTCACTATAACAAACAATTAAGTGGTGCTCCTACAAACATATTATATGGTACTCCGAAAAGTTTGATTGGTGGTCAGCTTCAGTGGCACAGAACAAAGTAAAGTGGGATTTTGTCAAGAATAGCATAGCAGAATCCAACCCTTGGTGTGTCTGGCTCTTGTATTTATTTATTTATTTATTTACTTCCAATTTATACCCCGCCTTGCCAGTACAACTGGCTCAAGGAGGTTTACATAAGTCAAAATACAGCAAGATTAATAAATACTATAAAATTCATGCTGTATTGGAGAGCAAATTGGGTACTTTGCCACAGGACGGCCATTTTGCATCCCCTCCTCCCACAACTGCTTTTTCTGATAATGTATAGTTCCATCCTTACTTCCAAGTTTACTGCATTTTGAATTCAGTTTTTGCATGCACCACTAGAGGCTGCTATTGGATGTGGAATGCCAATATTAGATTCTTTATGTACTGCACTACACCTTTTGCATCATCATCTTGCATTAAAAGAAACAGGAAAATAATAAAAATTTGTTTACCAAAAAAGAAAAAAGAAAAAAAAAGAAACAGGAGTCAGCTGTGCAACGAGGAGGCTTGCTTGTTTCATGAAGGGAACATGAACAAAAATGGGAGGAAAATATGCTTCATGCTTTTATGTCTGACGTTAGTTAATATGTTTGATAATTTCCTTAGCATTAACTTTATATTTTTTCCTGTTTACTCACTTTCTCATATTTTATAAGTGCTCAGAAAAGTGATGAGATTTTTATTAATCCTAAAGGGCACAATAAAAGTGCATTAGACATTGTTTGGCTTGTTTTGGTTATGGGAAATGGATTATAAGAGGAGACTGTATCATAGGAGCAATGGCAGCTGGGCTTTATTTTGCAGTGCAGATGTGAGAGCCAAGATGCATTACTCTAGAGGTCCTTTCCTGGCAGTGATAGCTGCTACAGTTATCCAGACATATGACAAATACAGTGGTTCCATCTGAACATGCCATTTGATGGATGATGACTGGCAAATGTTGTTTTCATTCAGCAGGCATCCCAAAAAATTCCCACAAGAAATTGGAGTTGCAGGAAGAATCATAAGCAGCCATTTTCTCTTTCTTTCTCATGTTAATTCTGTTCATCGTAACATCTCGAATCAACACAGGTTTCTTCATTTGCCTTGATTGTCACATTTGGTCTGTTAGATCTAAAAAAATTAAAAATAAGAGCAAGACTGATGATGTTTGCAGGTTCAAAGTCACTCACTAGAACACTTCTTATCCTCTACTGAGGCATTGTTCCTTATTTTATTATTAATACTACCACCCACTGAATGAGCAATGTGTTTTCAAATAATAGATTACAACACGTAACTTAATTTAGAGTCCAGTGGCACCTTTAAGACCAACAAAGATTTATTCAAGGTATGAGCTTTCCTGTGCAAAGCACACTTTGATTGATTGAATGATTGATTGATTAATTGATTAAAGTGGAATGTATTTGAAAAAGTGTGCTTTGCACACGGAAGCTCATACCTTGAATAAACCTCTGTTGGTCTTAAAGGTACCACTGGACTCTAAATTTGTTCTGCTTCAGACCAACACAGCTGCCCACCTGGATGTAACTTAATTAAGTTAAAAAAAATTGTATAAATTGTTCTTTGAATAAATACACAGAAATCCCAGTTTATAGCCAGTAGCTTCACATTGGAGAGCAGAAATCATAGATTTTTAAAAGTATGTGTCTAAGATTAATGGAGAATGAGCAATGATCAGACTCCCAGAGTTCTGTCAGAAAATGTTCTAGAATATTGAATTTTTAAATCCCTTATTATATAACTTTAGTAAAATGTTTTATGGTTTGTTATTAAACCAGAAAATCTGGACTTTGCCTAAATACATTTTCATTTCTACTGACCGTCTCTTAAAAAGTAACTATCCATTTCTCAATATGATACTGGGGAGAGAGGGCTGCAAACTGTTTCACTATGTGCTACTTCAGCATACATATCTTAGCTTTCTCCAGCTGATTGGTAGCGAGGACAGTTGAAAATACAAAGCACAAATTTTGTAGTAAACAAAAGAAAATGTAATCAGAAACATCCATACAATCATAACAGTATTAGCAGTGTATGATATTGAATTAAATTTCATAGCACCTAAAATGTTGAACTGTTCAGTAGTATATCTATATACTAATAGTGAAGGCGCCCCCTGCGTGCGGATATCTAAATCCGCACATCGGGGGCACCTGGGGGGCAGGGAGATTTTCCTGCACACGTGGGGCAATGCCTAGGTGTGCAGAAAAATATGAAAAGTTGGAAAAAATATTTAAATTACCGAAAAAG